AAAAAAAGAAAAATTCCTTCACTGGTGTACAATCCCCCTCTCCTGCCCCGAGTTCACTCCACCTTCAGTCTGGACTCCTGTCATAACCATAATACCCAATATAGCATATATCACTTTCAAACAGTTCTCTCCCACATCTGTTTCAATGCAGTATACATAATTTATCCAATTTTTCTCAGTCTAACTCCAACCTTGATATTAGTCCCATTCTACAACAATGGCACCATGCAGCACCTGTCCTTTTATGACTGAGATATTTCACTCAGCATAATGTCCTACAAGGTCACCCATTTTGAATAATATTGTTTTTCACTCTAACAGATCATCATCTATATATTTAAACAAACAATAATCTAAAGCACAAATGAAAACTTCAAGGCATTAGAGCCTAAGGAAATAGTGACGAAGGAATATAGGTAGGGACAATTAGAATGTGACACAATAGGAAGTATGTCATCAATGTTATTGTACTGTTTGTGTAAAAATGTGAGTGACTATGTGTTTAATTATGTATATCTTCACTCAAAGCTCTGGTGGGTTTGCCCCACTAATCCAAATATGGTGGCTCTCTGGCGACTCCACGGGACAAAGATGGGAAATCTCTTCCCATACAATTTACAGATTCAGAAAATCCACTGAAGAGTCAGCCGTGACTCTGTTCAGACTCTAGAGTGGTAACTTTGATTATTTATTTTTTTTTTAACTAACATAGCCTAAGAAAGGTGATCTGACAGAATGTGGAAATTATCAAATAGTAATCACTGACATCACATGCAAGCAAGAGTCTGCCTATGATTATCCAAAAATGACTGGAACAGCAGAGAACTGCCAGAAGAGCAGGCTGGGTTTAGAAGGGGTCATGGTATTAGGGATATTATAACTAATGTCAGATGGATCAGAGAAATCAGAGAGTATCAGAGGAATGTCTATATGTGTTTCATTGATTATGCAAAGGCATTTACCTGTGTAGATCACAACAAACTGTGCTGACTCTGAGAAGAATGACAATTCCAGAACACTTGATTGTGCTTATGCGAAACCTAAACTTGGACCAGGAGGTAGTCATCAGAACAGAGCAAGGAAACACTGTATGGTTTAAAATTGGGAAGGGTGTGCACCAATATTG